ATATTTAGTTTATAAACTATGACATTTATAAATGTTTGAATCATATGGTGAAAAACTGACTTTGATAAATAAATCTGTTGTTTTTTTTTTTTCTTATAAAAGTCTAAATAAAACAAAAACATTGGTGGTAATTTTTGACTGTGTAACTTTACAAACGGCACCCCCATGGCATCCTTCATGTTTATTTTGGCGACAGCTTCTTAACCTTTTCTTTTCTGTTTACGCGTTTCAGTTCATGGATCGCCTGCAGCTGCTCCTCATGCCTGCCAAGCACCAACCGGACTTGATCTACCTGCGCCACGTCCCCCAGAGACGAATCCACCTCTTCACCTTCATCCAGGCCGTGTGTCTGGCCCTCCTCTGGATCCTCAAGTCCACTGGGGCCGCCATTATTTTCCCTGTCATGGTGAGAAACGACAAAGCCAAACAGCAGCTCACAGCTTGGAGCTTTAAATCTGATTTCAAACCGTCTGCTCTGAAAGATTTTGGCGTTGGTCGCTGTCCGAAGGGCAATGGACTACGTATTCTCCCAACACGACCTCAGCTACCTGGATGACGTGATTCCAGAGAAGGACAAGAAAAAGAAAGAGGACGAGAAGTCAAAAAAGAACAAGAAGAAAGGAAGCATCGACAGTGAAATCGACTTTGTATGTAAACTGATTTTTGATATGATCACTATGAGTTTCTGTGTTTGTCAGCAGAGTGTCCAGTAGATCCTCACCTTTAAAAGAAAGAACAAAGTGTTTAATATATTCCCTCCATCCTCCCACAGTCCGACTACCCCTTCCATGAAAGTATCCCCACTATAAAAATCTCTATGGAGATGATGGAGCAGGAGCCCATGTTGGGGGATAAATCTATGGATAGTGAGTACTAGCTGGGGTTTGGTTTGCTCCAGCTCTGAGAGCTGCTCAACCTTTGCTTCTTAAAGCTGTGTGCTTGACTCTTCCTGTCTTACCGACCCTCTAGTACTGACTTCAGCCTGCCGGCTTGAACTGTTAGTGATGATGATCTTCATATTTATGAACCCTAAATGAAACATTGCAGTGCTTGCTTTCTTCATCTCTGTTCATCTGCTTCATTTGATTTTTAACAAGGTTGTCACCGTGTCTTTTTAAAGTGTTTTTATGTGTTTTTTTTCTTTCAGGAAATAAACCGCAGACTTTCCTTGACCCCAATTCACCGTGCTGAGCACTACTTTGACTGTCCCGCTGTTTAAGTAAGTACAGTTTGGGTTTTATTCTGAAAGGAAATGCACAAGTTATTCATTCTGAGTTAGAAAAAAAGGCAAACATATATAGAAGTTGGTGTGCTTTATTTTTGCTGTGAAAAACTTCTCAAAATCTCTGACAGTTTAGGCTCCGTTTAGTAAAATTTTTCATTTAAGACAGTATAGGCCACGCCCACTTTATTTGTGCATAACGATCTTTTAAATTTAGGTTCGAATCAAAGGTCCGTGCAAAGTTTCATGAATATCCAGTTAGCCATTTTTGCGTGAGAAGTTTTTGTGGTTTACAGCGCCCCCCTGTGCCTCAGTGAATTTAAAATTTGTTCCACTAAATTAAAACTGACCCTTGTATTAACTTTATGATTTTTATCTGATTATGTACTGTTGTTTGAACATATGGCAGATTTCCTGGTTAGCTAGCTTGCCTAAGCTATTTGTCTAGGCATAACTCAATTTTTTTTTTTTACTTTTCCTTCGAAACTTTAAACCAGCATACTGAATAGTTAGAGCAGGGGTGGGCAATCCTGGTCCTCGAGGGCCGCAGCCCTGCAGGTTTTATGTTTTCCCTGCTCCAACACACCTGATTCAGACATTGAATTACCAAGTTCTGCAGTATGGAGGACCGACACTGACATAACTAGAAAAAAAGCAGAAATATACAAATGGACCAATAAACAAATTCAATTAAAAATGCACCAATTAATTTTAAAAAGGAGAGCTTTACCTCACATTTTATAATTTAATGGACCTTCACATTTATTTTTCCAAATTAGTTCCAACTAATATATTTTTGCACATAATTGACATTTTACTGT